GATGGTAAAATCATTTAATACTACATGTACATGTATGTTGCAGTTTATACCAGTATAAAACTGACCATACCGTACGTTACAGTGAACATGTAATGTCTTACATGATATGTACATGTACCTGTACTTCTGTCTTCATTTTTTGGAACTTAACTTGAGGGAAGAAAATTCTGTTACACATGTGTAAATTCAAGGAGCAAATATGTTGTACTGTGCCTGAGCTATACATTTTCCCCCGTGAATACTTATCCAATGTTAAATGCATGGGGGTGTGCATTCAAGAATTTTGACTGTAGTTGCTATGGAGCATGTTCCCCTGTGTTTTGGGGCACCTGTACCTGCATTTTCCAACTTCAGTCACTTGATGTGCAACCTTTGTAGACTTGGTGCACACAGCAGGTATTTCTGAGGAACGTGTATCTGTGTTATATGAATTCAGTTTCTGTGAATGTAGTGTGGTCTACGCATTCCGCTGATTGCAGGGAACAAAAGCAGTAAAATGCAAACCCGTATAATGGCTGTCATGAGGGATCTGTGCTCCTAAGATGTCTGTTATTGTTTTCACTGAAGTATCCACTCAATTTACATTTTTAAAGAACATTCTAATAAAGTGAAGCCGAATGTCCACGTTTTAAGTGCATCTTGAGTATCACTGCCATTACATGTATTTTGCAGAACTTAACAGAAATAACTGTCTCATATCAGTAATTTATGAACACTAACCTCCCATGCATGTTAAAACAATAATCAATCGGAGTTTGGGACCTCCTGACTTTGCTATTGGCACATTCTTGCTATACAATATTGTTACTCAAGCCCCATTTATATGTGTTGGTACAAGAACAATGTGCATGTAAGTAGCCAGACACTTTGTTTAGAGTGTTTCCCAATCATACATACTTAGCAGATCTTGCGTGTTGTGTGACTAGGGGAGACCATGGGTTTTGTTTATTTGCTTTTAAAGAAAAAAAAAAGGATTTTTCATAACAAGTGTCAGATCTTTGTGATTTAGGTAAGTTTCTTTAATTAGAAATAAGTCACTAGTCAGCCTACTGTCTGTTTCAAAGTGAGCAAATTTAGCTGTACATGTATTTGTTTCAATTTTTTATTTCGTTTGTAACAAAAATCAAATAAATGACATGTGATTGAAGAGATTTACAATGATTCTACAGGGTAGGGATAGTGTAGCACCTACATGTACATGTATATATGTACATGTACAGTGTGTACTTGTACCCAGATACATGCCAGTCCAGTGTATACATGTACATACATCAGTGCAAATGTAGAAGTCACAGGCATGGGGGTAGGGCTACAAAACGGAAGGACCAGTGAGTGAAAAAATGCTTTCCACTGCATGTACATGTACATGTACCTATTGAACACTGTACATTTTGTACATATTGTACACTTATGTGCGAAATTTACACAAGTACATGTAGCTGGTATTTACCAGGCTGTGTGTCTGTAAAAAGCAGTTTCGTTAATACAATTTCAGTGTAAACTGAGAGCTAAAAATGAAGGGAGTGCTTTGTGCATAAACAGCACCTACTGGGTATACTTAAAATTATTTTTTACCTTTGACAAGTGTGCTATGTACTATACAATATATGTATACTGGTACATTTTCAAACTGATATATCAAATCAGTGATTTAAAAACATTAATTTGATTTAAATCAGTGATGTAAATGAAGGTGACTTAAATTGGCCAACCTCGCAGAGAGACGAGGGTTAAATGAATTCAAAGAAAAAGTGTCAATGAAAGCAAGATTTGAGACACTTAATACGATATGTCAGTTTCTATGTCCAGGTAACACTTTTGCATTGAAACATTCTGTGCTGAGTTAAGAAACGCACCATCTCTTAGAGATGTATACATCCCAATCCAGTCCAATCTTAAACTGACAGATTGGATCGAATTTAGCATGGTTCATTTGGATTTGGGTCAGATTCACGATCGATACTTAAAATGTCAGATCAGAGTGGATTGACCATCTTTTCAGTAATCTGACGAAACCTGATTTGTTTTCAACTTGTGTAAAATACATGAATTTGTCGGCCATCGCTTGTAAAATGTTATCAGATGTGACAATAGTAAGGTTTGTGTGAATACTGACCATTTTTTTCTCCACACATGCTAACCAACCCTCCCATCTGACATGATTCCCTTGTACTTTTGTCATGTTTGTTAACCTTGGGGGAAACACTTTGCAAGATGTTTCTTCAATCCAGTATTTTTGTTTACACCCAAAGTACCATAAGTAAAGCTAGGGGCTGTCCTGACATTCCTTTTGTGTTATATTATCAGCAGTACATGTACATGAGTTGATATGAATAATTGCAGGTTAATTAATGTGAAATTTGTTATCAAGTTAAGTGGAAGGTTTTGTCAGTAGTACATGTATTTGTGCCGGTCCAAGAAACTGAGATAACACAAAAAATCCAAACCTGATGGTGTCTCCGTTTCCAGCCTAAACTTTGTGGACATTTTATGTTTGCATACATATACATGTACATGTACATTGTTGGTCTTTATGCCATAGGATTCGTTGTATCGGTACATGTGCAGTGTATGCACCTTTATTTATCGCATTATTAACCTACATGTGTGCATGTATTTCAAATGAATAAAGCAATTTACATTGTATTTACAGTAGTCCACCGGTAATCAGTGTTACCTTTTCTATTATTAATTTTTGTTGGAATTAGTAAATTACTGTGAACTTGTATCATAAACCTGCGGAATGTACACTCCTGAAAACAGTTTTGAGTAATGGCATTTTACCGGTACTGTGGCAGTGATAATAAATCTGCTTGGCAGTTAGATACATGCACATTTACCCGGATAACAGTTGCTATGCTCATATGTGCTACACTGCTGGTGACGTCAGTAAAGTGTGAATTACCAGCTTGACCCAAAAGAACCAAAACTGATTAGTAATTCTGTGCGTCAGCCGTTGATCAGAGGCAGTTGCAGAGTTTTAGTTGGCGAGATTGAAGCCCGAGAAACACCAAAATTATTTACAGTCACCATTTTTATTCTGCGTTTTTTATCCGGTTTAGGCTACTTATATACCGGTACTCACTTGTACCAGAATTCTGTAAATTGTTGAACATTTTGATTGATATTGAAGTGGCAAATCTGTTTTAGATGGGGAATGAATTTTGGCCTTCTTATATACTACTTAACCCCCCCCCTAAAAATTTCAAATGCAAACATGCAAGCAAACATCAAAACTGTTTTTTTATTTATTTTTTTTTTAAGAGACAGTAACTTTTAATTAAGCTCAAGCAGAAATGAACGGAATTCACCGAAAAACCTGAAATTATAATCTTGCCTTGTTTGATAATTACATCAACTTAAGTTTTTGGTTACATTGTACTTCCAGACAAAACATGTTCCAAACCTTCTCATGGTTTACTTCTGAATGCAAGTTCTGTCTCAGATTTGTTCATGACAAAGAAAGATGCATTTCAGGCAAGGTGAAGTACATGTACAGTGTGTGTGGCACACGGTGATGAAGTAAATTCTTTGAAGGGAGTAATTTACTGGTATTGCTGGCTCTGAGTTTAAATGACAGTGTAGAGTAGTTCTTAAACCTTACCAATCCAGATCCTTCAAAATCCAGCAGGGGGTTTTGGAGAATTGAGGAACCATGCACGATGGTAACCCATGCATGTTTTAGGGCACAGAAGTTGGCATTTCCTGTTTAGAGGGAAGGATTTAGGAAGATTCAGGAAGATTTCTAACAAAAGAGTCTGGGTCTGCAATATGCTGAATTGAGATTAAGAACTTGACACTTCAGAATTTGCCTGTGAATTTGCCAGATTTTGTCCCCCCCCCATTTGACCCCCTGGGTCGCAAAGCTGAAGGCACACTGTCATTGTTTCCAAATCCAAAGTCAAGTTTCTCACAAATGCTAAGTGGAATGCCAGCCTGGATAGATTTGTGTAATTGACACCCAGTGCCTCAGATGAAACACTGGAGGAGTCGCCCCACAATCACCGACTCCCACAATCACAGGGTTGCTAGTTTGATCCTGAGAGGGGGGAAGGTTTGTTTATCTAAGGTGTTTGGTGTACTCATGTAATAAGCTTCCCACTCCCAGGGTGGTGGAAAAGAAAATTCAGCCTTATATGTACATGTATATATAAAGGCACACTATGTTAAAACAGGAGAGCCATGAAAAAGTAATTCATAATCTAACACAAATGGTTGATACCGGCACCTGGACACCCTGGATCCCTTGAAAGTGGCCTGACTTTGATTGGTTTCTTGTCCATTTTTTTTTTAAAATGTGTTGCGGTTTTTGAGGATGTGTTGAATCCTTTTTTTGCTACTTGAGTGAACAAACATACATGCATCTTCAGCAGGAAATATGTATGTTTGGAATTTAATACTTTCTCTTTTCACAGCTGGGGGTTACATGCACGGTAGCATCCCTCCTCAGTTGTCAAAATGGTTGTTTTTTTTTAATTTGACATGCATAACAAGACACCTGCTGCAGAGTTTAATTGCATAAACTTTTTACAAGAAATGAGGCTTGTTCACTCACAATGGTCCTTTCATCCTTTTGCTGTTCACATGGAACAAGTTCCAATTTTTTGAAAAATGAAAATTTATATTTCACCAGAGTGTATGTACTGTACATGTACATGTATGTTCGATTTTTGATTGGTATTAATGTGCGTACAGAAAATACAGAATAAAAAAAATTAAGGTTGCACACAAGAAATTGAAAATTGGATGTCACAGTATCACGGAAGTATGAATATATATTTGTTGGGTTATTTGTTTGGAGAGGTCTTTGAAAAAAATCTATTCCAACTACATGTATTCCAGTTTTGTCTTGCACTGCAGTTGGATGAAATAACCCCAACCCTTGAAGATGTAATTGCCCGTAAGACTTTTTTTGCTCTGGTTTTGAGACCCTACTGTATTTGTGGTGTCCTGGGCTGTTGTATTAAGCTGTTTGTTTTTTCCATCCCCTCCATTTGCAGGGAGATTAGGCTACTTAAGAGATTAAAGCACAAGAATGTGATTGAGCTGGTGGACGTCCTACATTGTGAGGAGAAGCAGAAGATATATCCTTTGACATTCATCTGATTGGCAAGTGATGGCAAGGAGGATCATTCGGTTGCCCAATAAGCCTTTCGCAAGTTAAATTTGAATCGAACTGGTTTGGTGAACATAACAATTTGAATTCTCTTTGTGACTCGGGCAAGTTTTTGCTTAATTACATGAGTGACCCCTTGTAACAATACACAGTTCTCAATGGATAAGAAGGGCGCAAAGGAACCAGTCCATTCCAGAGATTGTGGTCGCTATGCAAAAGCTTGCCCCGAATCACATGGTATAGCAACAGTGTCTTTAGTCTGGGGAATTTAAATTGTCATGTTTATGTGCAATCGGATAACTCGGTGTACCAGATTCTATTCAAATTTAACTTGTAAAAGACTTATGTGGCGCCAACAGTTATGCAGCACACGTACAAAAAGATTTGGGGTTTTTTGGGGGGAGAGGCAAAGCATTCATTGGCTAAGAAAAGATAACCAATAAATGGCTGGAGGGGTCGGTTTTTGAGTGTTTTTATTTCAAGTGAATTGGGGATTTTCATCCCTTGTCATCTCTTGATTTTCATTTCTTTCACTCATCCCTCCTCTCCCTCTTTTTCATTTTTCACATTTTTTTTGCGGAAGGAAGGGGGGAAGCATTCCTCCTTCCCCCCACACCCGACACCCATGCCACTAACAACTTGTAAAAACAATTAGGCCTTCAAAACCTGTCAAAGAAGGGGAGTTTATATTTTGCCTTTGAAAGAAGTAATTGCAATTATTCTTTAACTCAGAAATAATTGTTGGAATCATCAATAAACTCAGTTTGTTCCATGTGTCAAAGTATCGGTCATGATCTGTAGAAGTTTCCCTGGGAATTTTCTTCACACGATTCGTATCAACAGCACAAGTGTAGATTGGAAAATTATATGCATTACCCCAGGAAACATCCACCTATTACACTGACTTGTAGCCGTGCAGCCACTCCCCCGTTACCACCCCTCTAGTGATATTGGATGTGACAATCCTTATCAACCGGCGGGCTTGTTCTCGTTTGACTTCAGGGTGAAAAATGTTTCCCCTGCTGGCCTGCCCAGCTAGTTCACTGCATATTGCACTAACCGGAATGAACTTTTTAATGCTCTGTTTAATAAAAGGACTCTTTTTGAATTGGACGGCTTTGCAGTGGGGATATCAGTGTGCTGCATGTGAACAAGAGTCTCAGATGTTAAAGTCAATTGGTGATTTAGAATTTAAACAATGTCCATTTCAGTGAAAATGTTTTATTCACATCAACAACTACAATTGGGTACATGTACTGTGAAAGACAGATCTTCATTTCCCTCATACTGGACACAGCAAGAGTATTACTGCAAATTTGTAGTCAGAACCCTCGACATTTTAAGCACTTATTTCATTTTCATCGGAACTTAAATGCTTACCAAAATTGAGAACCGTGGGGTGAACATTCCTTGACTGAATAATACGTATATAATTATGGAGTACTGTGTGGGAGGTTTACAAGAGATGCTGGAGAACTCACCAGAAAAGAAGTTTCCTCTCTGGCAGTCTCATGGGTAAGTGCTCTCCAGAACTTCCATCAAATTATTGTTCACATTTTTTCCATGTCATGGATTTTACCCACTCACTTGCATCTGACTGCTTTTCTTTGCTCCGCCTTCCTCGCTTGGCTTGTTGTTGGTTTGGTTGCAGTCAGATATTACTCAAGCTCGCCTGATCGGCAAGAGGCCTGCATGATACCTCATTTCCTTGCTTGCATGCTTCCTTATTTCAGTGTGGAGTGTTTAATAATCATGTATACATATAAAGAAAGCGAGCAAGCAAAAGAGTGTTGCTGGCCAAAGAGAGAGCGTAAGCAGTGGAGACATCGTAAACAAAAAGGACAGTGTTGGAGGCAGAGATACATGTAAGCTGAAGTACAATGTATTATAAAGCAGTGGGAGTTGTTCAGAGGGGGGCGTGGCTTAGGACCTCTGTGCTGAACGCAAGCACTGTCTTGCATATATCTACCATTTGTCTCTGTCATTCTACCGGGTACCATCAATAGTGCTTCCATCCCCTTCTGATAATTGACAATCATGCAATGTGGAACTACTAAAAGAAGAGCACGCATCTCTGGTGATAAACACCGTGATCAAATTGAGTTCACGAAATGGAACAGCTCCAACTTGCCTGCCTGCCTTGATGGCTTCATGATTTAACCGCAAATTAAATGAAAAATGCACTGCATACAATGTAGTTTTGCTTTGGCCTTCTCCTTTGCTACATCTAGCGGTTGTGCAGGCATTTGTACTGTACACTCCTCAGTCAAGTCTCACCACACACAGAAAGGGAACAACAATAACAAAAACTGGAACAACATGACAACTGAAACGTTGGCTCCGTGCCTATTTTTAGCCAAACCCTGACAGTGGTGTTTTGTGCTCTGAATTGACTTCTTTGGCAGTGTCTCACAGAAATGAAAACATTATGCAAGACTAGGGCTTTTGTGTAGCTGAGAGATCTTGTGTCTTGCACAAAGGCCACTTTAGAAATGAATCATGTTGTTACAGGTAAAGTATAATATTATCTGTTTGGTTGTCAGAATTCATGGAGACATCAAGTCTTGCCTTCAGTATTCAACAGATAGACTTTCCATAAAATGTTTTTCCACCTTGAGGCCAATCCAGTGAAATCCACTGTCATCTACCGGTAGTCTGTGATAGTTTTCTCACAACATCTCGCCAGAGAAAATACATGTACTTAGAATACTCATTTTTGTGTCTTTGATATGTTGCCTATTCACTTGTAGTATTGGCTTTGGAAGACCTCCATAGCAAATAAAATTATGCAGTTTAAAGTGACTTTAATGCAGTCAATGTTTCCCACATGTAACTCATCAGTACTTCCCAAAACAGCCACAACAGTTGTTTCTTCACTTTTTGGGTCCCTTTTTGGTACAGTGTTGTATTAAAATTGGCCTACTTGATGCTTTGAAAATGTGGCCATCCCTGATTTCTATGTGGAGTTGACATTTGGTGTAGGTTTTGTCAGCCTCCATGTACTTTTGTAAGAATGATTAGGGTTTGATTTGCTCTTTACTTGTGGCAAGAGTGGGTATAAAGCTAATGCTAACTGTGGGTAATGCTCAATGCCTCAGGATCAATGCCTGTTACCCTTTGCCCCATATTCAACACTCAAGTTATTGAAGCCCAGTTGGTCCCCCCTCCCCGATAAATGTGGATCTGAAGTTGGCACTGCTGGGGCACACGTACATGTACATGTACTGTACATGTACATGTACATTACAGTCCAGTACTGCATCCAGGGTGAAGTCAGTTTGCTATCACTTTTTTGTACCCGCCAAATCATGGATTTCACTCCAAAAAGTACAGGCTCGATTCTCAATGTTCACAGCGCACATTTGTAATGTGTTCTGTGAAAAACCGTTGTTCTAGTGCAGTACATGGAGATGAAGTGCAGCTGCAGTGCCAGTAGTTTTTCTCGCTATTAGAGAAATGTCACAGCATGCAGATGATGCTGCTAGCCATTAAGGTGTGATTTAGAAGTGACAGTACATGTATAACTACATGTACATGTACGGGTATAAGGCCCTCCCCAAAAGCAAAGTTAACTGATTGTTGTGCTTCCAGTTACATGTACATGGTGTCTGAAAACTGGATGGATAAACGGAAGGTAGAAATTTGTGGGGGGGCACCTTTTTGTAAATACTGGTTCAGTCAGTGTGCAGCTACATGTAAGGGCGAACTGGTTAAAAGCAACAATAGTTAGGGAGGTCAGGTGGGTTTTGCATAAAACGTTCCTGGATCCTTTTTGCATCACATTCAAACTGAAAGAGGCAACCTTTTTTTCTATTCATTTCTTCATTTCCAATTTCATACCCCCCCAAAAAAAACATGGTAGGGTCCAAACATCAAAGTAGGCTCCCAACATCAAAGTAGGCTATTGTAGGTACCCGGTAGTGAAACAGGAAGTGTAACTACATGTACATGTACTTGGGGGGGGCAAATGCAGATGCTGGTAAATTGCTTTTTTTCACAGTAGTCCAACACAGGCAAAGACATGACTAATTATTTTGTTGTTTCATCCACTGCAAATAGATCTCTTAAACACTCTCATCTTCTAGAAAGGTTAGGCAGAATGTACATGAATGCATCCAAAATTGTCTTTTGTCAACATTTTGTAGAACGGAAAGAGGCCTCCAGCATAATTACAATAAACCAAGACAAGACATCGATATACATGTATATGGTCTACACCATACCAAGGCACATCATTTGAATACATGTAGTTTGAGTGGAAGTTAGTTTTATCATAGACTGTTAACTTTAGAAAGGAACAATGGCTCTCTGTTATTTCTGTGTCCTTTCTCAATGGTTACTGTCTTTGTGTTTGTAATAGTCCATGTTTAAGTAAATTGGAAGGCTGCAGTGTTAGAGTCAAGGTACCGGTACATGTACACTGTAAACTGGCAACGATCCTGTGTTATCTTCCTTGAGCAATTAGTAGAGTCTTTTATTTTAGTATTGAATCCACATGTACCTGTTTTTACAGTAAATGTTGCAAGTTCCAATTTTTATTGATCAATGAAGAATGGTTGTTGCCCTTGCCCTAGCATGTGTACACCAGTTGGCTTCTGTGTTAATTTAATGGGTGATTCCACAGAGAGCTGCAACCGCAAAAACCAATGTTTTGGTGAGCAGGATCTGCACTTTGCTAGCTCCTGGTAGTAGCCATGGATTCCTGGAATTCTGCCAAGTCCACTTTTTCTGGAAGCAGAGCTCTCTTGCAGTGTGCTTCACTTTACCAGGCACACAGTGTCTCTTTGAGGCATCTCATGGGTCAAAGAAAAAAAAACAACCCAGTAATGTGGGGCATTGCGTTTTTCACAAGCTGCAACTTGGAGAGTTGTTGTGAAAGCTTGTGTGTGTTGTGAAAGCTTGTGTGTGTTTGCTTTTCTATTGCTGTTTATTGGCTTACTGCAAATGAGGATGTAAACATTGTGTCAGTGTCATGTACTACACTGTTATTTTTTATCTGGCTAATTTTGTGCCACAAGATGTTTCTTCTGAAGTGTGCCCGAAGCACAAGAACAAAATGCTTTTCCCCAATTTCCTCAAAAGTTATTCTTCCTTGTTCACAGCATCTACATGTACGTACCATTCCTGGAGTATTCCACAACAGAATTTCCATTGCAGAGTACCTGTTGACTCTGATCAATCTGAAGTTAAATCTTCAGATCAAGGCAAAAAACATGTACACCTTACATTTGATGTACAGTGTACCAGTATTTCTATCTTGAATACTGTATTTTCATTGGCGCAAAACGATCATGTGAATAGGCAGTTAAACTTACTTTTACCATCACTGTTGGATATTACACATCAGTGATATACCATCATGTTATTATAGACAAGCCCTAGCCTCTCACAGTTACAAACTTTATTGCAAGGATAACCAGTCTATTCATGGGGACATACTACATGATACATGTACTGTATATACAGTTATAGATCAGTCACATTGCTTTTATGCAAAAAGTTTATTAAACAGGGAAGTGGTCATTATTACCCCCTATGGTAATGACTAACGTGGCAGTTTCTTGTCTCACTTATGAAAAAGTCATCTTTTGGCAGTTCAGTTCCACTGCGAGAATACTCAAGAGTAAAAAATGCATCAATGGGGCTGGCAAACAAATCTAGCAATTAAATGATGCCATAATACGGCTCTCGATCCCTTCGAGTTTCTTGACCCTGCGGCCATAATAGGATGTCTGTTTCCTTGCTGGTCATTTTCGGCAAATGACTTCGGCCATCTGCCTGAATTTCATGGGGACCTTACTCCGGTTTAAATTGGGATGATTCAACTGTATCATACCGGGTACAATCCAGTGTTGACATCACCTTGACTTGCCTGATCAACATTGTCAATGTAAACGCAATTCCAAGTCGCTCTCTTTGTCCGACCTCTTTTAATTCACAGTTAAGTTTGAGCAATCATAGCGCTCATGCACGCTGGTGCGTTTGCTGCAAAATTATAAACAGTCATATAATTGCAGAGCTGTAGTGTGATGTCATCAACAGGCTTCCTTTGGATGCTCCTGATGACTTTTGTTTTCATTTTGCCTGATATGAAGGAGAACTTCAATGTGTGCTTTTGACTTCAGTAGCATCTTAATTTAGTTTTTTACATGATAGATTGTTTTAAATGTACATGTAACTAAATTTCATAAAAGGTGAAATTGTGAATTACTAATGTGAGTGATCTTTAAAGATGGTACACTGTAGTGGGATCGAGCAGCTGCAAACTGGCATGACAATATAGTCAGCTGTTGAAGTTGTAAATTTGGAATTTTGGCTCTTTGTTCCTGAACATAATGTTTGCTGAGCTTCAAGATGGGTTTTCAAGATGTAGGCCTACCGGTACAGATACTGCTTCTGGGCAAGACACATGCTGCCATGTCAACCAACACAGTCATACTGATCTGGCCATGTGTCATACAACTTACTGTGCATGAACAGACCAAGACACTCATTGTTTCGATTAGATTCATAAC